GGTCTCTTAGATCTGGCAAGTGCAGGACATCACACTTTATTCCCAGAGGGTCTTCCCTCTGAGGTCAGACAAGTGCAAGATGTAAAGGCATATATCAATGGGTTCCCAGAAAACCCGTACTGCTTTTGTCCTTGACCATCTTGTAATAACTGAAGAACACGTGCTCTTAATCAATCATGTGATTCCATTAAGTGTTATCCATCTTGTTGTTAGGTGTTGATGAGTCTGTTCCAAGTCATAGACACTCTGTGTATGAGACGCTACCATTTCTGCACCCTCAGTGTTCCAGCTGTCCTTCTTTCAATACATATGCAGGCGTTCTTCTGGCAGTCCACCGTGTATTCAATTTCTTCATCAACATCATAATCAAAGTTCAGTCTTCCTTATTCATTGCCCAGCTTTTGCATATGAGACAGCTGAAAATACCTTGGGTTGGGTTAGGCACATCTTAGTCTTCAAAGTGACATTTTTGATTTTGAACACTTTAAAAGAGATTTTTTTGCAGCAAATTTGCCCAATGCAATGTGTTCTTTGATTTCCTGCCTGCTGCTTCCATGAGTGTTGATTGTGGATCTAAGTAAAATGAAATCCTTGACACTTCAGTCTTTTCTATGTTTATCATGATGTTGCTTACTGATCCAGTTGTGAGGAATTTTGTTTTCTTTATGCAGAAGTGTAATTTGTATTAAAGGCTGTAATCTTTGCAGCAAGCAAAGTTTTGTCATCTGCATAGTGCACGTTGTTAATGAGTCTTCTTCTAATCCTGATACCACAGTCTTCTTTAAATATAGTCCAGTTTCTCAGATTATTTGCTCAGCATACAGATTGAATAAGTATAGTGAAAGGATACAACACTGACACACACTATTCCTGATTTTAAACCACACAAAATTCTCTCCTTATATTAAAACAGCTGCCTTTTGATCATTGTACAGATTCCACATGAGCACAATTAAGTTGTCTGGAATTCCCATACTTTTCAATGTTATCTGTATTTGTTATGATTCACACAGTCTAATGTCTTTGTGGATACCTGGCATGGCACTGTGGGATACATACTGTATTGCAAATGAAAGGGTAGGTGGTTCAAACCCACCAGCTGCTCCTCAGAAAACCCATACGGGGCCACTATGAGTCTGAATTGACTCAACGGCATTTAACGACAACAGCAGTGCCTTTGCTTAGTCAATAAAGCACGGGTAAATATCTTTCAGGTATTCTCTTCTTTCAACTAAGATCCATCTGATGTCAGCAATGATATCCCTATTGCACATCCTCCTCTAAATTCGGCTTGAATTTCTGGCAGTCTCCTTTTCAGTTCGTTCACTATATAAAATATCTTTAAATATAAAACTGTTTTGCATATTTTAAAGCCTCTCTATAAATGGCGGTTTCATGTATTTCTTTTCCCACAACTTGTTTCTATACATTATGAAATTAATCTGTGCTGAATGTGGTTACTCATTTTTATTACTGTATTGTATCCCATTGTTCCAATATATCAATTATTATGTTGGTGGTATTTAGGTTGTTGTCAGATTTTAGCTAACAAAAAGATAATGTTCTAAATTTACTGTGTATGTCAATTGATGTAGAGTTTCATTAGGGAAGTGGTTCTTAGTTCTGACCTCATAGTGGATTCATCTGGGGAGCTTTTGAGGTCTCTGGGTGGTGCAACTAGTTTGTGATCAACTACTAACCTAAAGGTCGGTGGCTCATACCCACCCAGTTGTTGTTGTTGTTGTTAAGCGCTGTTGAGTCGGTTTCGACCCATAGCGACCCTGCATAAGGTTTCCGAGGCTGTAAATCTTTACGGGAGTAGATCGCCTCATCGTTCTCCCGCGGAGCAGCTGGTAGTTTCGAACTGCTGACCTGCCGGTTCGCAGCCCAATTCGTAACCACTACACTACCATGCCCACCCAGAGGTACTACGAAAGAAAGGGCTGACAATCTGCTTCTATAAAGAAGACAGCCAAGAAAACCCTATGGAGCAGTTCTACTCTGTAACACATGGGGTCGCTATGAGTCAGGATCAGCTTGATGGCAAGAGGTTTGATTTCCTGGTCTTCGGGAAGCTTTAAAAAAAATCTTAGTACCCAAACTGCATCCAACACTGAATAATCAGGGTCTCAGGATTGGTCTGACATCATTACTTTATGACCTTCCCAGTTGATTTCAATATGTGTGTAATCAAGGTTGATAACCATTGCCCTAGACCAGTGCTACTCAAAGTGGAGCCCTCCAATCAGCAGCATTGCAGTCACGTGGAAGTTTATTACAAGCATACGCTCTGGTCCCTCCCAGGCCTACTGAGTTAGCCTCTATTTTAGCAAGATCTCAGGGGATGAGTACGATATTACAGCTGGAGGCATGGGTCATCGTTACCTACTAGGTCCTGTCAAAGTGCTGCTTATGGTGTTGGCACTGAGCCGCACTGGTGTGGAAGAGCTTTTGTGTCACTGGAGCCCTGGTGGCACAGTGGGTTAAGTGTCAGGCTGCTAACTAACTGCAATAGTGGCAGTTCAGACCCATCATTTGCTCCTTGAGAGAAAGATGCGGCTGTCTGTTCTTGTAATGATTTATTAGTCTCTGACACTCTATGGAGTTTCTGTAGTTTGGATTATTGGCTTTCTTCCAATTTTCAGTATTGTTGTCTGCCTACTTCCATTATGAGTGATAGCCAGCAAGCTGACAGGAAGCTCTGTATGTGTGGGCGGGGCTTGTTGAGGTGACTGGGCAGGACTGGGCAGAGACTAGCTGTTTCACTGCCCATCTGTTGAGTTTTTCTCTTTGGTTAGTTTTTCCAGGGAGAAATCTAGTAATTGCTTGCTGGGGGGTGGGGTGGTTGGGAAATAGGCTTGGCTGTTAGTAGGGGAAGAGGACTGATGGTCTCCTGTTAATTACCCCTTGATTTCTGTAAGGCATTTCACTCCTAAACTTTAACCCCAATCCTAATAATTTCTTCTTTTTAAATGGCTGTGGACCAGGGGTCTAGCCACTTAAAAAAAAAAAAAATGTGATTTGGGTTAAAGTTTACAAAACAAATTTGTTTCCCATTCAACAATTGATACACATTTTGTTTCATACATTATTCATAATTCCCTCTATGTTACAGCACTCTTCCCACTTAATTCCTGGGTTCCCTGGTTCCATTTTTTCCTGTCCCTTTTTGCCTTTTGAATTGTGTTTTTTGGGCACCAAGTCTTTTGACTCATGTGATTTTCAGACCCATCCCTCAACTCCCACCTTGGGATACCTGTTCCCTCCAAATTCTGAACATTTGGGGAGTTCTGCAGAGTTAATTGCTTATTTGTAATTGGTTCTTTCCTTGTAGACATTTCAGGGAGGGGGTAAGCTGATATTAAACAAGTTATATTTTTCTATCTTCTAACGCTTTTCATATATCACTGGTCTGTTGCCATCTTCTCTCCTGTCCTATCCTGCCATATTTACTCCTCTGTGTCATTTGAGTGAGGTTTTAAGAAGTAGAGGGCATATAAATGTGTGTGGTGGTGGTAGTGATGTACAGTGGAGTCGGTTCTAACTCATAGCGACCCTGCATAGAGTTTCTGAGGCTGTACATCTTTATGGGAGCAGAAAGCCTCATTTTTCTCCTGCAGAATGGCTAGTAGTTTCGAACTTCTGACCTTGAGGTTAGCTGCCTGACTCCTAATGACTATGCTATCAGAGCTCCTTATGAATGTATTTAGTCCACCCTATTTAATCAAAAGTTCATGTCCATTTAAAAAATGTTCTTATATATGCATGTATAACTTGGTATTACTCATTTATATGTGCCCTTAAATCTATTTTTTTTTTTTTAAAAGATGGCCTTGATTTTTCTATTCAATATTAGATTTCTAAACCCAAGTAGAGTTAGCTCATTATTTTCACTGTGGCTTAGGAAGTGCTTCAGCAAATCAATGTAGCATATTTCTCCCCATGCAGTTCTCTATGGATGCATCTCAGAAGTACAGGCCATCGTGGTTCTTTGTTCAACACACAGTCTCAATGCAAATTTTAATCTTTATTGTTTTAATGCAGAAGCATAACATGTCACAGGAAAACAGTTGAGTGTTTTTTTTTTTTTTTTTTACCATCTGCCAATGGCAAAGGCAAAAAAGCTAAGGGTGAGAGCCTGGGGGCTTGGGAGAACTAAGTACATGAGGTGTGTGTAGGGACACAAAGGACAGAAGGGTGTAGACACCAATACACTCATAAGCACACATGCTCTCTCTTCAGGGAAGGGTTTTCCAGAGGCATTTGCCAACACTTTGAATTAAGTACTAAAAAGAAGTAAATGAATGGCTTTGGAAAGCCATGTGCCCTGGATCTTCAATGCGTGAATTCACTGTATTCATCAGAATAGTTTTTAGCTCCACTGGCTAAAGAGAAGCTGATCAAAACTGGGGAGACCAATGGCGGGAGAAATTCAAAGAAACCTAGCAAAGAGCCAGGTTTCACCAGCACCTCTGGGTGAGCTGAAGGAAGGGTATGCTCCCACCTCCCAAGGCTGAAGAGAGAAAGGGTGGGCACATCTCTCACCCTCCTGCTCTTGGCTTCAACACTTGCCTGTTGGGGCTGAGCTCAGTTTTGAAAGATAACTAGTTCTTTTTCTAACTGCCATTAATACATATATGAAGAAAGCCCCTGGCTGGCTCCCTCTCAGAAACCAGAAACCGCAGTGCATATGGGAAGCTGGGTCTGAGGGCCCCTCCAGCCCCAACCCAGGACATAAGCCAGCTTTAAACCTACAAAGGGGTAGACTAGAGATGGGGTAGGGAAGGGACAATAAATAAAGGGGATGAATGGGGTGGCGGTGGTGGTAAGAAGGGCTCCCCAGGAGAGAAAGGCACTGGGTTGGGGGGAATCAGATTCAGTGCCCCCTAAACACTGGCTTGTAGAGTCAGAGGGCACCTGGAGGGGAGGCTGCCAGCTGAAGGGGCAAGAGCTGGTTGGGAAGGAGCTACGAAAGCCGTGAGGGTCTGCCTTCAGCTTACTCTCTTCTCTTTCAAACTCTCCCACAGGAAAGCTGGCCCGGTGCACCAAACATGTCTCTGCCCAGGGCTTGCTGAGGGGACTGGTGGAGGCCACGTCAGCAGCGGGAACTCGTCCACGTGTGTCTTTTACCTTTGGGGAGAAGGAAGAAAGGCAGGTGAGCAGGGTCAGGTTGCCTGTTCAGTGGCCGCTTAGCCTGGGGGAATCTGGACTGAGGGCCACCTCGCTGGAGCAGCCCCACACCCGAGACTGCTGTTCACCCTGCTGGGCTTCTGTTTGCCCACCTGGGTTTTTCAACACAGGTGATATAAGGAGACCAGGAGGAGCAAATGGACATGGGAATATAGCATTTCCCTCAAGGCCATCGAATTCCTTCTAGGCACTGTGCACACAGCCCAGGTTTTTTTACTGGACATTTTCTGAGGGCCTACTAACAGTGGATACCTCACATAATGCTGAATTTTACTCTCCTCACAACCGCATGAGGGAGATGGTGCTGTCCCTACGTTAGCAATAACGGGACTGGGAGCAGAGAGATCAAATATGATGTTAACCTAGATCAAATTGCCAATAGCCGACCACTTTTTGACCTACGAAAATGCAGCTAATTTGCCCACAGGTCACATGGCTATTGTGGCAGGACCTTAGGCGGTGGGAGGGGGAGGGTCCATCCCAAGACCTCATCCAGGGATGATGCCTTCACCTCCTCCTGATTGCCAAAACTTAGGTATGTTCTTGGGAACCGTCCACATGCGTTTTCCTGGGTGCAGCTGGGTAGAGGATAGTGTGACCTGTGTTGCTTCAGACTGCGCCTGGAGGGCACACTCCTGGTCCTGCAGCTTGGGGTCAGTAACAGTGACCTGGGCATGGTCCTCTACCTCTCCGCTCTCCTGCTGGTGTGGAGACACCAACCCAGCTAGGGCTGACTTTCTTGTGGGAGACTGTGGGCCAAACCTGCCCTGGCACAATTTTCTCAGGCAGGAGTATGGGGATCAGGCTGGGTGAGAGCCTTGGATTCTTGCTCTTTCTCTGTGCCTCGGTTTTCACACCTATGAAATGAGGGCAACAACCCTCTTGTCTACTCTGCCAAAAGAATGAAAGTTGATCCTCAAAACAGGCTGGGGTTTAGTGCTGACACCCCAGTGGTCCTGGGTTCTCTCGCACATGATTTGAGTCAGGTTAACATTTGGCCATGCTCTGGTGGGTTGATGATGAGTTGATTCAGCTTCCTCTGCCACACAGTAAGGTTTTAGATAAGTTTACACGCGAGTTTTATACTCATTGTTTCACTGTAATGATTATGGTCATCATTCAACAGTATTTGCTTCTATTCCCTCTTTTTTTTTTGATGTACACACAAACACTCAGGAATATATAATCACTTAAACAACCCAAGGGCACATTATATAAGCCTGCCTCCTGGCTGCCAGCACACAGCCTTTCTCTTTCCATGAGTCTAGAGTCCTCAGCTGCTCTGTCTCTCCATATTCTCATCTCTGTCGTCACTGCTTTTCTGGATAGGGTCCCACATTCTGCCCTTTCTCTTCTTCCTTGATGGCCCTAGGGTTCCTCTGTTCCTGGACTGTAATATTAACTACTCCCCCTTTATGTTACAAAGTGTCTACTTTTACAGTTGTGACAATCACAATTCATCATAACAACTACTCACCATTGAATCATAAGAATCTTATCCCCATCTCCTTTCACCAGACCCATGTAGACAAGATGAAAACTATTCAGTGGGGATTCTACCTTCTCCTGCACACTCTGAAACTAAACACCCTCTTGAAAACTTGTAAGCCACATCTTGTCTTTATAGTAAGCCACATCTTGTCTTTATAGCCCTTCTCCCCCCATTTTAGGCAGCCAATGTCTAAGTTGCCCATCCCTATCACCCCTGCATACAGAGGGGGTAGGATGAAAACGCCTTCCCTCTCAGTTGGTATTTTGAGCTACTACATCCATAAGTACAGGTCAAGTTCATCAAATTGTAACGAATTACACTTGTTTCCTTTATCAAATTTTTATATCTTCTTTTAGTTGAGTTGTGATTTTTCAAGCCATCAAAGCTAGGTCAAATGGGTACTGTCTGCAAGTTTGGGCATTCTTGTGCATCTCATACCAGCTGGATGCTCCGTTCTAGCCCTCTGTGGCTATGTCCTTGTCCATGAGCTCAGGAGACCCCAGGTCTCACTATAATTAAGACCAACCAGCTCTTCCTCTTCTCTCTCTCTCATCTCCAGGCTGATGGGAGTCTATGGAATGTGGTCAGATTCAGCTCATATCTTCATTGCTGCCTTTCCCCCATATTCACTCACCAGTAGACCAACGTGGTCGCCAGCAAGCTTACATGTCTGCTCATGTGATCCCTTTGTGTTTCAGTCTCCGAAGGCACTTGGTAAGTTTCTTGAGGGCGAGGACTGTCCCCTATGACACCCAATCCAGGTTGGGCACTCGATGGGGCTTATGAGGACTTGATTGCCTGGCACTTAGTAGGCACTTTTGAAACCAGAGTTACTGTAATCACCATGAGGATGGGAACTGCTTAGACAACCAGGGAGGGAATAACTTACAATTACAGAGAATGGATAGCGGTGTCACCATTAAGGCTATTTTGGGTCCCTCTGGGCTCATTGCTGGCGGGTAGGTTGTTCCCTCAGCACCTGGCATAGCTCCAGTGAACATGAAAAACTGGAAATGTTACCTGCCCCTCCCCAGTTTTGGGGGCTGAGAGAGAGAATAGAAGGGACAAAGGGGAGGGGCAACAGGTTAGGGAGAGGAGGTTGCTAGGAGCAGCTTGGTACTCACCTTTGCTCTTCAGCTCAGGCCGGGGCGAGGTGCCCCCCTGTGTGTCCGCAGAGCCCGCCCCAGTCTCGCTGGTCAGGCTGCTCTGGCTCCCAGAGAGGTGGCTGGGTGGGCGGGCTGGCTCCAACCTGGGGGACTCGGTGCTGCCGCCTGCAAGAGACCACACGTGTGCCCGAATGGCTCGGTGCTGTTGCTGTAGACCTCAAGCAGACAGGGCTTAGCTCAGCTCAGAAAGTAGTAGATCTAAAATAACTTGCCACTTAGGATGGAGTGAATGGACCCAGCAGCCCCTACCCTGGGAACTGTCATTCCACCCCACCCCACCCTTCTGGCCGCTGCTGATTGGCCCAAAATATATAATGGGGGTTCTCAGTAAAATGACCCAAATGCCAAGAAAAGTCACCAACATGACAAATTGGAAATGATTCCTTTTTCTTGTCTTCATAGAAAGAGTGTGCATGAAGAGTATGTATCCCAGTTAATTCGGACAGAGATTGATTTTACTAAGACTATTTACTGAACAGGGCTGCTAGTTCTTGCTCAGCCAAGAGGCCAGATGTGGGCTTGTGATACTGAACCCCATCTTCTCCTCTATTCTAGGTCCACTTGGTCATTGCTGAGAGTTGGTGTAGGGGTCGGAAACCTGTCCTGGACATCAAGACTGGCAGGTAAAGTTCCTTTGAACTTTTTGAACTTTTTAATATAGAATCTTTGTTCTGAAGAGGCCTAAGAGAGATCAAGCCCAGGGACAGTTTTCATTTCTTATGTCATCTCTACCTATTGATCTAGACCACATGCAACCACTTGCAGTACAAGAAAACTGCACTGTGGATTCTGAGGCCACATCAGGAATCTGTGGGAAAGAGTATCACGATCCACTAGTAATGTCTGGGTGTCCTGACCCTGTGTGATAAAGCACTGGACTACAAGGTCGGTTTAAACTCTAAGGTTGGCAGTTCAAACTCATCAACTGCTTCTTGGAAACCCTATGGAGGGTTTCTGTGAGTCGATGGCACTTAATGTCGACTGCAAGATTGGCAGTTCAAACCTACCAGCCACTCTAAGGGAGAAAGATACTCCCGTCTACTCCTGTAAAGATTTGCAATTTCAGAAAACCTACTCTGTCCTTGGGTTTCAAAATTTTTTTTTGTTTGCTAAGTTTCTATTGTGAATTGAGTGATAGTTTACATGTGGAACATCGGTTTTACACTCGCCGTTTCATTACAATGATTACAATCTTTTAAAACAACCAAAGGGCACATTTTGCAAGCCTGCCTCCTGGCAGCAAGCACTCAGTCTTTCTCTTTCCATGAGTCTAGAGTCTTTCTCTTTCCATGAGTCTAGAGTCCTCATCTCTGGTGTTAGGGTTCCACATTCCTCTGCTCATGCTCTTCTCCCTTGATAGTCCTAAGGTCCTCTGAATTCTAAGGTTAACTACTCCTCACTTTTTGTTACAAAACTTCTACTTTTACAGTTGTGATAGTCGCAATAACAATTATTCACTATTGAATAATAAGAATCATATCCCCATCTCCTTTTATCTAGACAAGATGAAAACTATTCAATGGGGATTCTACCTTCCCCTGCACACTCTGAACCTAACTCCCTCTTGACTTCCTCCACCCCCCATTTTAGGTAGCCAATGTCTAAGTTGCCTGTCCCTATCACCCCTGCATACAGAGGGGCTAGGATAAAGACTCCTTCCATCTCAGTTGGTATTTTGAGCTACTATATCCAATTGTAATAATTTACACTTGTTTCCTTTATAAAATTTTTTTTATCTTCCTCTAGTTGAGATCTGATCATCAAGCTATCAAGGCTAGGTCGAATGGGTACTATCTGCAAGTTTGGGCATTCTTGTGCATCGCTCCTCACTTCATAGCAGCTTGACTCTTCACTGTCAGCTCTGGCTTTCTGTGGCTTTGTCCTTGTCCATGGGCTCAGGTGTCCCCATACTTCAGACCAACCAGCCCTTCCTCTTCTCTCGCTCATCTCTACTCTCTCATCCCCAGGTTGACATGAATCTTTGGAATGTACTTGAACTTCATCGCTGCCTTTCCCCCCTCTTCCACTCACTAGCTGACAAATGTGGTCAACAGCAATCTTAGTGCTTGCTCCATGTGTTCCCTTAGAATTTCAGTATTGGAGGGGGGTTTGTCCTGAATGGACTTGATGGCTCCCCCAGCGAACAACTTGCTTGTTCTGGTAGTAGCCAATCAGACTGCCATTTTTGTTTTGGATTTTTCCTGCTGATCTTTC